AGCGTCCGACTTCGGCTCAGGTCATGATCTCGCGGTTTGTGAGTTTGAGCCCCATGTCGGGCTCTGTGCTGACAGCTCGGAGCCTGGAGCCTGCTTCGTTCGGATTATGTGTCTCCCTCTCTGTCTCTGCCCCTCCCCCGCTTGTGCTCTGTCTCTCAAAAATGAATAAATGTTAAGAAAAAAAATTAAAAAAATAAACATTTATATATACACGTATACATATACATGTTTTTGTTTTTTTCTAGATAGAAAGGAACATGCCAACTTCTTACTCGTTGACTTCCAGGTCCTGGTCATCAGAAGACTCATCTTCTCCCAGGACATTTTCAGACTCTGGTTGCCGAATGAGAAAGAAAAGAACTGTCCCCACCAGGCTAATCACTGTCAGGGCAATAAACACTGTCCTTCGGTCACTCTCTGGAGAAAAAAAAAGAAGAAAGCAGATAACACCGATCGCGCACAACTTCAGAGTCCGCATTGTGTTCAGAAGCTGTTTATGACCATCCAAACATTTCCTCGTTAAATGTTTACTTTGCTGCGTTAGTGAAAATCTCAAATAAAGAACTAAATAGAATACCTCCACCTTTGTCTTTCAGTTAAAGGAATACCAGTAAGCCAAAAGAAAACCAGCACAAGGATTTTAATCATACTCTGTAGCCAAAGAAGCGTACAAAAGTCTAACATTATGGTCATACACAGCATAACCTTCTGTACCTCGAGATGCTGCTTGAGGCACAGGCCATGCACTAAAATCCTGGCTTAATACAAGGAAAAAAAGTTACTAACAGGTAAAGTCTGAGAGGACTTCAGGCAGCACGGTTCACTGCCACAGTATGAACAAAGCAATAAAGGGTACTTTGTGGATGTATTCGAACATGTCTGAAGACAGCAAAGTGAATAAACAAACCTGATATTTGAGTTTTCCCTTGCCAAGCAAAATATATGTAGAGATTTCCAAAGAACAAGCTGGGGGAAGAAAAGGGAGAAGAGGATGTTGAGGACTTATTTCCATATTTACAGTTTTTAAAGCGATGTTTCCATTATTTGTTAAAAAGGGGGGGGGGGCATATATAATTTTAAAAGTAGCTACCTGCCTGGATCATTATCGACGCCACCTTGACCCTTTTCTGAAAACTGTCAGTGACCCAGATGGAATTCAGTCTCCTCCCACGTGACAGTAACCTGATTCAGAACCACCCTACAAAGACTTGACTCGCTCTGAAACATGTGATTTATTGGCACTCTGGAAATGACTATGTGGAAGCAGGCTTATGCTACTTCTCAAATCCTGTATTTTAAAGAATCTCCAAAAAAAAAAAAAAAAATCCATGATTTAGTCACCTGCATCTAATCAGATGCTTTACTTAACATACTTTCCTGGAGAAAGAACCTTTCGCTTACACTCCGGTTTCTTAACACACCCCCCCCCCCCCTTATACTAAACATCTGCATTTGTGAAACCTTACCAACACCCCAATTTTGGGTGATACCCATGACGGTAAATCCTCAGGACAGATTCCATGATAAAATGACTGGTTTTGCTTTCTACTTAGGAAATATATAACATGCTGTATGTTGCTCAGTGTTGATATAATTGGACTCACTTTTGAAGTTTTTTAAATAAAACGTATTTATTTTTCAGTAACTCTACACCCAACGTGGGACTTGAACTCACAACCCTGAGATCAAGAGTTGCATGCTCTACTGACTGAGCCAGCCAGGCGCCCCTCACTTTTGAATTTCAACATACTTGTTAATAGCTATCAGGTGTAGCTCAGTGGGAAGGCCATGGCCTTTGGAATCCACATAAGGATGGCTTAAATCAGATCAGTTACTGCACTTTTAAGCCTCTGTTTTCTCATCTGTAGAACAGAGATAATACTTTCTGGTGTCATGAGGTGGTGAGGATTACTGAAATTTAGTCACGAAGCCAACAGTCCCTGCCTGAAAGATAGCAGGCACTAAATACGTTATGGTTAGTATTATTTTCTATTTACTCATCATGAATTACAATGAGGTAGGTCCATGCGTTTTATGTTAATTCCGTAAAATTTTAAATTTGAATCATATGCAGCTACAAACTCAAGCCATGTTAACACGGAAGATCTGAATTTTCAATACCACAAAGATCTAAAAAATGGTGTGGCAAAATAATTAAAGGAAAGATTAAGCTCCAGAAGGACTATTACCTAGATTGTAAGAGTGCCCAGAAAATTCCACTGTTTCTCCCAATAGTGTGCTCATCTGAATTTATTGTCAGGCAATTTCCTTGTGCCGTCCAAAGCACTGAAATTCAAACCGAAAGGTTATCAAGAGAATGTCATCACTTAGCTTTACATACTAAACACATGACACTCTTAGATAAATCCCAGAAGACAGAGAAAATAAGCACCAAGATGCTTACCAGCAGCTGCAATCCCAATGAAGACAGAGGCTGTGTAGAAGGACCATGGGAAAGGCTGGATAAAAACGGCAATGTACATGCTAAAATATAACAGGTCAACGTATTACAGTCAAACAACACCTTAAACAGAATGCCAAGTATGCCTTCTAGGAATCAATTTTGAGGATTCTCTCTCTCTCTCTTTTAATTCAACCTGTAAAGGACTTCTCCAGTGTTGGGAAAAAAGGGACAAACGTGACCTATTTTTTTTTTTTTTTGTCTTTTAATTTTTGAGAGAGAAAGAGACAGAACGTGAGCAGGGGAAGGGCAGAGAGAGAGAGAGAGGGAGACACAGATTCTGAAGCAGGCTCCAGGCTCTGAGCTGTCAGCACAGAGCCCGATGTGGGGCTAGAACCCACGAACCGTGAGATCGTGACCCAAGCCGAAGTCAGACACAACCAACTGAGCCACCCAGGCACCCCGTGACCTACTCATTCTTAATTTACGGTTTCAAGTTTGTAAGATCAGACACTTGAACGAAGGTTTGCAATCGGCCTCTGCCAATTGCTTAGCGCATGCTGGGACTGTAGTTCTGCAACCCAGGAAAAAAGCTTAGTTCTTTCATTTGAACGAGATCTCTTTCACAGAAAGAGAGTTTTGGATACTATTTTGATTAATAGTAAAACAAAAGGAAATACGCACATGTCCCAGGACATTTAAACAACATGGTATCCCAGGGCATCAAGGAGAGAACCAAATCCCTAAAATACTGCCTGTATTCTATGTAATCCAAGTGGGCAGATTCTTTTTTTTTTTTTTTTAAGATCTTTTTTTTAAATTTAAGTAATCTCTACACCCAGAGCGGGGCCTGAACTCACAACCCCGAGATCAAGAGTCGCACGTCCACCGACTGAGCCAGTCAGGCACCCCCAATTTGGCACATTCTTGTCAAATATTTCCTACGTGTTTGAAAGGTGCTGAAGGTGTTTGGGTGATATGAAAGAAAATCATACTACTCACCTGTAAAATAAACCACTTGCAAACATAGAGAGCTGAGGTCCTACAATGGCAACCACTGATGGTGTAATCAAATTTGAAGCTGAGAACACTCCATAAATAATTGCCATGCTGTGCACATAACACATAAAAGGAAAAAACAAAACCCTTGAATCGCTGTCTCAAAAGTGCACTTTTTCAAATCTACTTAAAGTGTATGGTTTTTTTTTTTTTTTGACATAAGCATTCATTTCTTTAGTTAGAGTTAATAATAATTCTCTCATTAAGCTGCATCTCATAATACAGTTTTCACTTATGCAAAATCTTGGGAGTCTCATCAAATTTCTCTTGGAATCAGCTTGCCCTGGACAGTAGTTTTTAATGCCCTGGTAAATTGTAATAAAAGCTAGCAGCGTGCCAAGTGTTTTCCATGTTGTCTTTACTAAACCTGACAGCTCTGTGAAGACAGTATTATTATTACCCTCATTTTACAGAAAAGAAGACCGGAACACAAGGGGGTTAAGTTACTTGCCAAAAGTCCAGCTGGATAGCTGGTGAATGGTTGGAGCCAAGACGCCATCCCTGGTAAGCTCATTCCAGAAGCCCTAGTCAACAGCCTGCTCTACACACTTAGCTTACAACTCCTGGCAACAGCATAAAATTTCGCTGTTATATAAATAACAAGCACCGAGTTATCACTTGCTTAAACTGGAACTTATTTAACTCAATCTAATGACCTCACTTGAACATCATTCAGCTACCGGAGACCCGGCCCTAGTACGTGTGTCTTGCAGCAAAGTACGACTGAAACCATTTTGAGGGTCCTCAACTCATTTACTAGCCTCTATTCATAAACCCAAAGTAAATTACTCTTTGGCTTCCATGAACCTCAAACAGCAAGCGTTCTTTGGAATGTACACGAAGACAGAGCGCTACAAAAGAAACTAGGGTATTATTAACCACTGAGAAAAATGGACATTAACATTGCTTTAGTCTCAAATATCATACAGAAGATCTGTTTAGGATAGATAATAAAGAACCAAATAATAAGAGTTATGGGGGAAGGGGGTGTTGGTCATCACCTTAGAGTTAATTACAGAGAAATTAAGAAACCCGTATGCGTTTATACCCACATATGCGTTACATTCCCTGCTTGGATCACAATGAAGGTCTTTTCATTTTTTTGTAAAATCGGGACTAAACACCTTAACAGAAATTTAAAAGCTCCTGATGGCAGCATGTTAATCATTATGAAATTACAAAAACAGGAGGACCAAATGTTTCAAGAGTCGTATAAAACATCCTCCGTTTAGGATTGAGAAGACATAATTAACGACAATACTTGAGTGTTTATTAAGTGCCAGGCACTGTGCCAAGAGCTTTACACGCGTCATCTGAGCAAGGAGATTGGGCTCACAGACAGAAGTAACTTGCCTAACATAAGGCAGTGATTAAGTCATGAAACCAGGATCTCAGACCTAGTACGAAATTCTACGTGAAACCTAGACTCATCACCTTTATCCTATTATGTTCTCCCAAACAGCCCAGGGGCAGAAAAAAAAGCAATCAAAAGCAATCACTACCAGTTCAATCACAACGTTACTGCCGGAGATTCTAAGATTCAGGTAACTGCCGTAGTATATAAAATATAGCCGATCGCACGATACAGTACCTGGTGTATCCACTGCCGTGAAAATCTGTGCTATTTAAGCTCCTGATGACAGTTTGCTGTGTGGAAGATAAAGCTAATCAATGAAAACACTTTGCAGTCTCCCTCCCCATCCCCACCAAAGTTTGTGTCCAAGAACTGAGAACGAAGTACTCAGTAAAATAAAATTCGGGATGCACCATGCCTGAATACTGAAAGTCAACTATGAGAGATGAAAAGGACTGCAAAACAGGAAAAGGCAAACCGATGACAGGGAAGGGGGCAAAGAGCAGCTGTAACTATGCCTTAGTACTAGTACCGGTAGTGGTACCAAGCATTCTCCCAGTACTAATGCAAACCTTAATACAGACAAGAAAGAACAGGTCAACACATACAGACCCCAAGTCAGATCAGAGGAAGACCATACTGTTTAACACCCCGTCCCGATACCCGATTATTAGCAAGAAATGTCTGACACATCAAATTAAACTTAAGCATAAAAACGAGGAAGGGTAGGGCAGAAAAATAAAAGGTGTCGTTTAAGCGCGCTGTCCGATGTAATTAACGTTTATCATCATCTTTGGAACGCGTTTACGGTAGGCACTTCAAAGGAGGGAGAACAGATCCCGACTCACCGCCACATTTCCACAAGTTTGAAAGGCGGTGAACATAAACATAAAGGCAATTCCTAAAATAATAATGTTGAAAAGCTTTTTGGATTCCGGGGACATTTTGGCTCAACTCTGCCAGAGGTCAGCAGCGGCGCAGGGCGGTCGGCTCTCCTCGGGGCGAACCCACTGACGATCCTGGGGAAGGAAATGAGGCGGTGAGAAGAGCGGACGGATCCAGGAGCAAGGCTGCCGAGCTGTCAACTTCAGTTCTCGGATCGGAATCCCCGGCCGAGGGTGAAGTTGTCCCCACGGGCAATCAGGACATTCCTAGAGTCCGATCCGAGTATGGACGAGCCCAACACTCGGAGTAGTGCCAATAACGTCGCTGCTCCAGGTTGAGGGGCCCGCGAGGGGGATTAGGGGGCCACGGCCGAGGTGCAGCGGCCGGCGCGGCCCCGCCCTCCCGGCCCTGACTCACCTCGGGCCACGCGACCCGGTCACCTGACCGCAGCCTCGGCGCCGGCCGCTCGGCCCGCTGGGAAATGTAGTCCTGCGCGGCCCGAGACGGGTAGGGCGCGCCGAGAGGGGAGCGGGGCCGAGTCCGCGCGCCCCAGCGGAGGAGGGGCTACAAAGCGGAACCCGGCGGAGGAGTCGGGAACTGCGGGAGGGAGCCCGGAGGGCGACGGGGCCGGGTCTGAGAAGGCTGGAGACAGCGGGGCAAACGGGGGCGGGGGGAGAGTCCCCCCTCTCCGAGAGAGGCGAGAACGTTCCGCGGGGGCCGGAGCAGAAAAGCTGCGCGGCGCTCGGATGCGGGCATGAAAAGGAGGCGGAGTCTAGAAGGGGAGCGCTTCCTGCCCCAACTGCGGGCGAGCGCCCGTCCGGCCTCGCTGCCGGAAAGAGCGTTTCGCGGGCTTTCCAACCGCTCGCCAATTCCGCTCCCCCCTCCCAGCAACAGTGACTCCGCGCTTTTCGGCCCGCCCGCCGGGCTCTGCGCAGGCGCGCCGGACAGGGGCGGGGCGCGTGGCCGCGGCGCGGCGGGGCGGGGCGGGGCGAGCCAATCAGGGGATTCATTTCCGGGTGGCGCGGGCGCCATTTTGTGAGGAGGGCTATAAACGGGCGCTGGGGCCGACTGCCCGCCCAGTTGTTTCTCTGGTGGAGTCGGCTCCGTGGGTGTCTCGCTCGCGTCGCCCCGTCCGGCCTCTCCCAGCGTCCCCACGCGGGAGCCGACTGCCAGAGGCGCGGCGCGGCGT